CGGATGTTTTGAACGGCAGATTGGAGACACGCGAGCAGCTCCGCGTTGACAGTACACACGGGACCACAAACTGAGTTTGCTGTATCCGTTATTTCTTTATAAGCATGTTCATTATATCCATCCATTCTATATTATAAAATACACAGCAAATGGTCTGAACCACATGAACAGTTCGTTATAAGCATGTTCGTTATAAGCATGTTTGTTATAAGCATGTTTGTTATAAGCATTTTTGTTATAAGCATGTTTGTTATAAGCATGTTCGTTATAAGCATATTTGTTATAAGCATGTTTGTAATAAGCATGTTGGTTATAAGCATGTTGGTTATAAGCATGTTCGTTATAAACATGTTTGTTATAACCATGTTCGTTATAAGCATGTTCGCTATAAGCATGTTCCTTAAAAGCATGTTCGTCATAAGCATGTTTGTCATAAGCATGTTCGTTATAAGCATGTTCGTTATAAGCATGATTGTCATAAGCATGTTTGTCATAAGCATGTTTGTTATAAGCATGTTTGTTATAAGCATGTTCGTTATAAGCATGTTCGTCATAAGCATGTTTGTCATAAGCATGTTTGTTATAAGCATGTTCGTTATAACCATGTTCGTTATAACCATGTTCGTTATAAGCATGTTTGTTATAAGCATGTTTGTCATAAGCATGTTCGTTATAAGCATGTTTGTTATAAGCATGTTCATTATAAGCATGTTCGTTATAAGCATGTTCATTATAAGCATGTTCGTTATAAGCATGTTTGTTATAAGCATGTTCATTATAAGCATGTTCGTTATAAGCATGTTTGTTATAAGCATGGTTGTTATAAGTGTGTTTGTTATAAGCTAGTTTACTGTAACATTTATGGTGATAAAGTTTCAAATCTTTACCTTAGAGCTTCAGCCTGATCAAGTAACCTGTTGTCAGACCAGCTAACCAGGAGACGTATAGTTTTTTTTAATTTCAAAGCAGTATTTATAGTTCCTATACAAAGGCCCACATAATGAAACAGGATGTCCTGGCGTAAAGTAAATATTCATGAGATGAAACCAGAATCTCGTCCATACTACATCATCCAGTGTATCCAGGCTTCAAAGTTTAATTTTTTACCAAGGAGCCAAGTACAATATGTTTTTCCAGGTAACCAGTGATAAAATCAAGAAGTCAAGCCAATATTGTAGGTAGTCAAAAGCATTTGAAATGATCTTTTATCAAATAACTATTATATGTACAATTCATAGCACTAGTCATGGAATTGTTTATCAGTGGAAACTGTACATGAGTTTTGTTATTTGTGACTTGAACAATGATGCAGTTTATGTTACTAGATTATATAGGTATATCCTTTCTTATCCAATAAACTAATGATAAACTGAACTAAAATACTATTTACATTAATATTTATGTATTTCGGTTCATTGTTGACTTTAGGAGGAATAATTGGTGAGTACAATTAGTAGCAGACACGTTTATTTTTGTGTCTACATATGTGTAGCAATATAGTCGCCAAAAGATATTTTTCAAGGTTGAAATTTAGGTCGCATTGGCGACTGTTTTAGTCGCAACTTTGAGGCCTGGTATCACATGATTAATATGCTATAATAGGTGATGTGACAAGGGGTTTACATCATGATCAAGATGATTGCACTAATATTACGACATGCATGTGTGTGTGTGTGTGTGTGTGTTTGTGTGTGCTGCTTGTACTAGTGCGGACTGATGCCGATTTATAGTGCTAGCCCACTGAGATACCATGCCGCAGTTTAACGTGAATACCCCACTCAGACACAGTATACTGACTTTGAGCCGATCAGTCCTTATTTTAGTGTTTTCATGCCAAGCACCTGGCAGGGTAACAATAAATATTTCAATGTTTTTTGGTATGACGCAGCCGTCCTTCCACTCTCCAGGAAGCACTCTATCCACTGGACCACAATGGAGATTGCAGGCACCAGGCACTTACTATGCCATGAAGATTTAAAGTTATTAAACTGTCACTCTACTTTTTACAATGTGTGCACTGTTGCAGCTGTTTGTTTGTTGTTTAACGCCGCACTCAGCAATATTCCAGCTATAGAACTGTGGTCTGTAAATAATAGTCTGGACCAGCTAATCCAGTGATTGACATCATGAGCATCGATCCACACAATTGGGATCGATGACATGCATCAACCAATTCAGCGAGCCTGACCACCCGATCCCGTTAGTCGCATCAGTCGTCTTTTACAGCAAGCATGTGTTTGTTGCAGCTGAAGGGGGTGTGGCCTAAATGCAAATGTCCGATTGGGATTTTAAATTTTCCGGACCCCTGTTGGACACTAACAGTTCTCTCCGTGACAATGGTCATCATCAACTATGAAATTGGTATATCATTCAGAGCTCCAGATAACTTTTTGAGCAATTGAGTTTTTACTCTAGGGTTTCTATTTTAATTTGGTTATTACATTTTTCTTTGAGTTACCAATATTTTTTCACTCATCTATTCATAATTCTATTGGGTTTTTCCCAAATATAGTGAGGAGATTTGAGATTTGAGATTTTGAAAAATTGAAATAATTTTTTAGATGTATATAACTGTTCTAAATATATAGGCTTGACTCGGAAAGTAAATTAGCTCGTAATTGTGTTTCGGAAATTAGCTCCTTTGTACACAAGCTGAAAAAGCTTCTTTGACTGTTTTAATAAATTAGAGTTTTTCATTTAATGCATGCTTTTCTGTATGCAAGTTAATTGAAAGTAATTGGGTTTTGATTTTTTCTTTATTTCATTTTTTTTTTTTTTTGGGGGGGGGGGGCATTTTACGCAAATATGCTGCTTACCTGTTACTCTGATCATTATATATGAAGAAGCAGACCCAGAAACGGCTATTTGATGAACTTGAATCAAATTTGCACACTGCCAATTAGGAAGAGCATAGTGCTCCTTTAAACCATGTCACTCTCATGCAAGGAATTTCAAAATCCAGCTTCAAGCTCATAATATAAGACGTACATGAAAAGTTGATATGTGCATTCCCCATTCATGACTTTCTAACATCACAATATGTCCTGTCAAGACCAACAGGGATAATCAAATAGCTTAACACCGCACTCAGCAATATTCCAGCTATATCTTGACAGTCTGTAAATAATCGAGTCTGGACCAGACAATCCAGTGATTGGCATCATGAGCATGGATCCACGCAATTGGGATGATGACATGCATCAACCAAGTCAGCGAGCCTGACCACCCGATCCCGTTAGTCGCCTCTTACAACAAGCATAGTCGCCTTTTAAGCATGGGTTGCTGAAGGCCTATTCTACCCCGGATCTTCACGGGTCGCAACTCAGGTGTCATTATTAACTCTGTACCGCCATTCATTGGGAGCCGCTCTATACCCCAGCGGTTTCTATAATCAGGTCTAATTTTAGACATTGCATAGGTAACTGTAGCCTGTTGAAGAAAGCACTGTCTTCCCTGTCCTATAGATCTGCAAGCACGCACACAGTTGTTTAGAAAAGGAGGGGTGCATTTTGTGACTTGGCAATTTGGTTCAGTAATCATATAATTTTGTTGAAAATATACAACCAAATAAAATAGTCAAAATGTTGTTAAACATTTACTATTAGTATACCCAATCAACTATAAAATTTCAAATTTTAGACCTATGCTTAAAAAAAGGGTGTGGTGTGCTCACCCTGTGAAAACCCCTTGGTATCTGTGTATGATGTGTGGCTAATAGACCTTTCCTCAGTGTTTTACACAACTTACACATCCCATATGCATACCGTATTCGAAGTAATAAGCATCCCGCTCTAATAAGCGCCCACCACGATATTTGCTAATATATTGGCTAGTAAAAAAATCCCAATTAGCACCCCTTCCGATTGATCAATGTACACAAGACTTATTTATTCGTGTTTAATACGCACTATAGTGTGTTATATGCACCCTTAATTATGGGCAATTAAATTCTGGATATATCTGTCATGTATATCTGTTTGTATCATTTCAGGCTGTCAGCATAAACCACAAAATTTACAATCTTTCAACTCTTTTTTTTTCTCACCAAACTTATATTCTGATAAGAACCCCCTATTTCTAACTTTTAGAGCGATCTGGGGGCTTATTACATCGAATACGGTATATTCATTGAGAATTGACCCGAATAATCTACATTACAAGTCCTGGGGATGCTGAAAACTATGTCTGTTTCAAAACTGAAGATTGCTCGCAAGATTTTATAAACTAACTTTTCTATTCTTTCCAGAATATATAGATCTACTAAAACATCAGGGTGCCAATCATTCATGGTCTTCAAGCAAATATTGAAATCCCCATCTATAATATATAGGCCACAGGCTTCTGAGAAAATGACATCAGTAAAATTCTTAGAAATGATTATCAATCAATTGAAGTGTGTGGCACACATCACCAGTCTGGGACCCAAATGTTTATGTCTAGGATCCCACAATTCCACTCTGACAGTGGCCACGACACAGTGCAGACACAAGTACTTGCCTGCTTCTAATATCAGCTTAAATAAACAGGGAGGTAAAATACGTGTATCACAGAGAATCGACCCCAACATGAACAGACGACCATATGTGTCTATATTCTTTGGGAACAGTATCATCGATCGTTGCCACAGCGGCTTGTAACACAAACATTATCAGCTATAAGCTGCTGATACGATATTGTCATAGACAGTGTCGGTGACACTCGTTGTCAACATGTTTATCTTGAAGGCTATAGCTGGTAAATTTTGCGTCACAAGACCCTGTCCTGCCTTTGTAAATGCGTTGGTCGTTACAGGGTAGTCGTCAGCAGAGACCATGGTCTCTGTCGTCAGCAATAGTACACGTATTTCGTCGTCTAATAGAGGAAAGCGCTGGAGTGTTCAGCTAGGATTAACGGATTAACTCTCCGTAAGATAACACGATCGGATTAGTATATAAGCACTGACAACCGTTCTTACTGCCATACGACAGTGTGGACAAAACGAACATAAGGTCAATTCTCACCTGTTTCGTAATCGTAGCCTACTTCCTTGTTTTGTCTTCGACTGACTGTCAGATCCTTAAACGTTCAGTACATCCAAGATCTGTGCCGTGTGAATTGAGCGATGGGCGTGGCTACCAGCACGTGAGCAACCAACACGTGACGTTGTATTGTTACTATGTACACATCAAGACAAGTTATCCTTTCGATAACAATGAAGATCTATGTCACAAGACCTGAAACTGAATGACTTGATTCTCTCTGTAGCGCACTCGCGTTAACAGAAAACGCCAGTTTAAGCGTATGTCATACCACACAGTAAGCTGGGCCCCGTCTCTAATATTTTTAATAATGGCGCAAGTTGACGACGCGCATAGGGAGCCGGGAACCAGCTTATACCACACAGGTACAAACCAGCACCGGTCGAAAATGGTACTAATTAAAAAAACATAAATCACAACAAACTTTGTGTTAAGGAATTTGATTTTGACAGCCAAATATGTTTTCATGTGTCAAAACTGAAAGAACCTATTCTCTTTACAGCACAAGTACCCAAAACGCTAGTTTTATTGGTATATCGTACAATACCACACAGTGGCAAATCAGCACCTGTCGAAAATGGTTCGAACAAAACGTGATCTAATTTCGTGATCAGGGATTTTGATTTTGACAACCAAACATGCTTTCCTGTGTCAACTTTACAGGAGTAGCACATGAAGTGTTGATAAAGATTTATATCACAACTTGTGCGTGGGCTTGATATTGAGTTGGCCATGTCATAATATTGGTAATTTACGTCAACACTTGAATCATATTTTTTTAATGACTTAATAGCACAACGACCAAGGTCGAGATCAAAACCCTTATCGAAAATTGGGGCACAGGTGCCCTGGTCGTCTAACTTAAGGCCCAATTCGATGTGTAGAGTTGCGTCCCTTGTACGCGTCAGAAACCGATGATCGTGGGTTTGAATCCCGGTTCGCCCCGATTTTGTTTCTGGGTTTGTCAGCAACATACCCGTGCTTGTGGATTTTACCAAAGTGGTAAACGTCTAATATCTGCATCGGGATTTTCTCCCACATTAATTAAGCTGACACGCCGTGCTATAACTGGAATAACACTGTTCAAAGCAGTGTTAAACCCAACTCACTCACTCACTCACGACTTAATTTGTTTGTGACGTCGTTTTATATACATATTCTTCAAAATGACATTAATGTTGAGCATTTGATATGATATAACAATCACATCATTATAATTTTTTCATTTTCCCTGTGCCCGTGAAGATCCGGAATAGAATAGGTCTTCAGCAACGACTATATGCTTGTCGTAAAAGGTAATTTAGGGGATCGGGTGGTCAGGCTCGCTGACTTGGTTGATTCATGTCATCGTATCCCAATTGCGTGGATCGATGCTCATGATGTCAATCACTGGATTGTCTGGTCCAGACTCGATTATTTTATAGACCGCCGTCATATAGCTGGAATATTGCTGAGCGCGGCATTAAACAACAATCAAAGCAATATACAATGCAAAAGAGACGCGTGAGATGACTTGGTCACCCGAGGACCCAAATATCTCTTGAAAAAATTAACGGTCTAATAAAAATATAACAAACGAAACTATTTGCGGAACCGCTGATTGAGGCTGCAACGCAGTCATCAGTACCTTATTCTAACTTAACCATTTTCCAACAAATTCTACACTGGCGGATCCTGATTGGGATGCAGGGGGTCATAGCCCCCTTTTACAGACACCTTTCAGACACTAGGCAACGTCAAGGGGAATATTTCACCCTCTTTTGTTTTCAAAATCCTGAATCCGCCTCTGTTCTGCATTATTGAGTGGATTGTGGTCAAAACATGAATTATAACCCCACAATAGGCGCTGGAACTGGTAGCATTGATCCCATCTTTCCGAGGCAAAGGGTTGGTTGGTTTGTTGTACATTAAGTATATCATGGCATGTCAGCGTAACCTAGGGTTAAAGTCCAAAGTGTTTATTGTTAATTTATTTGTTGTTTACGCCGCACTCAGCAATATTCCAGCTATATGACGGGGGTCTGTAAATAATCGAGTCTGGACCAGACAATCCAGTGATTAATATCATGAGCATCGATCCACGCAATTGGGATCGATGACATGCATCAACTAAGTCAGTGAGTCTGACCACCCGATCCCGTTAGTCTCCTTTTACGACAAGCATAGTCGCCTTTTACGGCAAGTATGGGTTGCTGAAGACCTGTTCTACCCCGGATCTTCACGGGCAACCATTCAGCATGAGGTAAAGGGAGGTGAAATTGGGTTTAACGTCACAATCAAGATTATTGCACTTATAAAGCGATGTACGTGTGAGTGGCTGCTTGTACTAGTCAGGCCTTATGCCGATTTTAAAGTGCTAGCCAATATGAAATACCATGCCATGGATACCCCACTCAAACACAAAATACTGATTACGAGCCGACTGGTCTTTGTTTTATACCCATAATGCTGAGCACCAGGCAGGGTAACAACAACTACCATCTTTTGATTTTGAGATGATGTGGCCATGAATTGAACTACCCTCCGTCACACTATCCGGCAGGACCCTCTATCACTAGACTCAGAGGCATTCTGCATGACCTCTTCTGGAAGAATGAGTGAGTGAGTGAGTATGGTTTTACGCCGCTTTTAGCAATATTCCAGCAATCTCACGGCAGGGGACACCAGAAATGGGCTTCACACATTGTACCCATGTCGGGAATCGAACCCAGGTCTTCAGCGTGACGAGCGAACGCTTTATCCACTAGACTCCCCGACCGCCCCCACAGAAGGATGACCCTTGTTTGCAGGTGAGAAATATATCAATATTCATATCTTTTCCATCCCGGATGAATGTTCCCGAGGAAAAGGGAGTTAACTGACTATATGACTTGTTTGTTTGTTGTTTAACGCCGCATTCAGCAATATCGCAGCTATATGATGGCTGTAAATAATCGAGTCTGGACTAGATTCACGCAATTGGGATCGATGACATGCATCAACCAAGTCAGTGAGCCTAAACCAGATCCCGTTAGTCGCCTTTTACGACAAACATAGTCGCCTTTTACGGCAAGCATGGGTTGCTGAAGACCTATTCTACCCAATATCTTCATGGGTCCCGAGGCAAGGGAGTTAACTGTCCGGTTTCTACCCTTGCCGAACTAGACTGGAATTATGGAGTTATACTTTGGCTGGACAAACGAGTCTTTGCTTAGTCCAATCAAAACAAAATCAACATTCGGTTTGTTAAATGCCATGCATATTTCGATCGACTGCATGACTTGCAAAGCATGTGTACCGTCAACTTAGCTTCAACACATATTTTCCAAATCTTTCCATATTTTTAAACAAGGTGCTCACATGATTTGATGCACTTCGCAAAATAAGGCCTGTTTTATTACAATATAAATCTTGATTATCGATCGGATCGCCCTTACTGGGCGCTGCCACTTCGTTTGAAACAAAGGCAAGTGATATGAGAGATCGAATCTGATTGGCTAATGGGGGGACACAGGAGGGACATGTCTCGTAATAGACACTGGTGGCACTAAAATCGGGCCCAGAAATTCTGGCAAGGGTGGAAACTGGACTTTTAGAGTCAGTCAACTCTCTTGCCTAGGGAAGATGTATTCATAATGATACGCATTAATTTCAAGATTTACAGTATGAGATGGGTATACTGAGGACCGTGAACATTACCAAATCACAAACACTTTGGGGCGGTCGGGTAGCCTAGTGGTAAAGAGTTCGCTGAAGACCCGGGTTCGATTGCCGACATGGGTGCAATGTATGAAGCGGCGTAAAACCAAACCAAACTCACTCACTCTCTCACAAACACTGACTAAAAGGGACATATCCTGCAAATCCCTCATCCCTAATGCCAGTACATTTTGGGGATTGATACGTGATATGTATAAAAACAAAAACATTGTTGCTCCCTATAGCCCACAATAGGGGCTGGAACTGATAGCTTTGATCCCTACCATCTGGGTAGCATAGCCAACAATAGGGGCTGAAACTGGTAGCATTGATCCCTACCATCTGGGTAGCATAGCCCACAATAGGGGCTGAAACTGGTAGCATTGATTCCTACCATCTGGGTAGCATACCCACAATAGGGGCTGGAACTGGCAGCTTTGATCCCTACCATCTGGATAGAATAGCCCACAATAGGGGCTGGAACTGGTAGCATTGATCCCTACCATCTGGGTAGAACAGCCTACAATAGGGTCTGGTACTTTGATCCTTACCATCTGGATAGAATAGCCTACAATAGGGTCTGGTACTTTGATCCCTCCCATCTGGATAGAATAGCCTACACTAGGGTCTGGTACTTTGATCCCTACCATCTGGATAGAATAGCCTACAATAGGGGCTGGTACTTTGATCCCTACCATCTGGGTAGCATAGCCCACAATAGGGTCTGGTACTTTGATCCCTACCATCTGGATAGGATAGCCTACAATAGGGTCTGGTACTTTGATCCCTCCCATCTGGATAGAATAGCCTACAATAGGGTCTGGTACTTTGATCCCTACCATCTGGGTAGAACAGCCTACAATAGCGTCTGGTACTTTGATCCCTACCATCTGGGTAGCATAGCCCACAATAGGGTCTGGTACTTTGATCCCTACCATCTGGATAGGATAGCCTACAATAGGGGCTGGTACTTTGATCCCTACCATCTGGGTAACATAGCCCACAATAGGGTCTGGTACTTTGATCCCTCCCATCTGGATAGAATAGCCTACAATAGGGTCTGGTACTTTGATCCCTACGATCTGGGTAGAACAGACTACAATAGCGTCTGGTACTTTGATCCCTACCATCTGGGTAGCATAGCCCACAATAGGGTCTGGTACTTTGATCCCTACCATCTGGATAGAATAGCCTACAATAGGGTCTGGTACTTTGATCCCTCCCATCTGGGTAGCATAGCCTACAATAGGGGCTGGTACTTTGATCCCTATCATCTGGATAGAATAGCCTTCAATAGGGTCTGGTACTTTAATCTACCATCTAGGTAATATAGCCCACAATAGAGGTTGAACTTTTTTTTCATCCAACGAATAATACAAAGACGGATTTCTTTGAAACATAACAGAATATTTAATATCTTGAAAAAGTGTGTACAAAATACTGATTCTTCTCCAATCAATAATATCACATTATAACAAAACAAAATACTTAAAATAGTTGCATATGTTTCATTCATGATGGACATAATGAGCATTGATCCACGCAATTGGGACAATATGTATCAACC